GTCAACTGCATGAGGCAGTGATCTGACGTCTCCCCGTGATGATGCGGGCGTCGGCTGTGGTGAGACGTGGGCTCATTCGTGAACTTGCTACGTTTGGAGTCCGGCTCTGCTGAGCTGCTGCCGTCGTCTTTATCATAATGCATGTGCATTTTGGGTTTGCGTCCTCTCTTTTTGGGGAACTGCTGAGCAGCTGCTGGAGTTTTTCTGGGCCTTCTCTCCGACTCTGGTGGGCGAATGTGGACACTTTCCCCTCTGTTGATCGCGCTGGGCGGGAAGATTGTGGGAACCACGGTGCGCAAACCCTCCCTGGCCCTCGGTGTTATGATAGGCTCGGGGATGGGATAGGAAACCTGGATCCCTCTGGGAGCCTCTCTTCTAAATTCATACGTCTTCTCTTTGGCTTTGGCTTTGGCCTGAGGAAGCAAAAAATAAGAGGAAAAAAAACCCCAATTACATTTGTGACGAAAAGTTTCCCAGAATTGAAAATTTTAAGTCTCTTGAGCAAATGTAAAGTTTTAGAGGCCTTGACCTAAAGTTTCTGTGATTTAAAGGGAATGAAAGGCTGTAAGAATGAAAATACTGTTAATATTCACATGTAAAGTTACGTAAACTTCTTTGTCCAACATTGCATGACCAGAAACCCTTGAGAAAAGAGATCTTTGCAGATCTTTTTTCAAACTTACAATTGTTTTCAAAAAAGTGAAACCACAGCACAGTGGCATCAAAGTTTATAGGAGTGCACACATCACTGAAATGGTTCAGCCTGTGTACACATGAAGCCACGCTTCGGAAAGACAAGCGAATAAAACGGAATACCCAGAAACAAATACAATAAACACTCACCTTTAAAAGAAATGTCTCAGGCTTGGGTCCCCTCTTTTTCGGCCCGAACATCTCCCTTTCTCGCTCCCTGAAGAATTTTTATAAATCGTTAAAAGAGTCCGCACGACACAATAAACAATTATTTTTCATTAAGTCAATGATTAAATTGGAACATCTCATTTTACTGGACTATGGGCTGAAATTTAACCAGCTTTCATCAGCTTTCACTTGTAAGCTAAATAAAAATCGAATAAAGCGAAATATATATGCATCTGTTTGGGATTTATTTATTTATTTTAAATGGGTGACATCACATCTTGCAGCTACTTAAAGTGGCTCTGCTGACACTTTCCTGTCAGGAATGGAGATGTGGGGCTCATAGATTTAAACCCAGACTAAATGTTTTATTTAAAGTGACACTTTTGCAAAATGCGCGGTGCCAACTCGATTCTGCAGGGAGAGGGAGAGAGAGGCCTACTTGTTTCACTGTCAAACCCTCACCTCTCTTCGAAGGCAGAGAAGAGACGTGCATCCAGAATGTTTTCCTCCGGCTCCCAAGTGCTGTACCTACGTCACAACAACCGAGAGGAGAGGTGTTTGGCGACACACAGACACACACTGAGAAACGCTCATTTGTCAGTGCGCAAAAACACGCGCTCCTGACACTTTTATCAAAGCAATCTCGCTTTGCTCGCTCTGCAATTACAGACTACGTAGCAGGACAGTGACGCATGGTGAACTCAGCCATTGCTAAAGCTAGTGTAGACTTCAACACATCTCAGCGGGCTGAAAGCGAGATGTGTTCAAACACCTGCCAGGTGCACACGAGCCAGCAGGCGCACGGCACACGGCACCGCCGTACACCGAGTGCGTGAAATGCATTTTTTTTTTTAAAACAAACCACACATCCACAAAGCTGAGTAACGCCACACTGTGTGATGGTGCAGTTGTGCGAGCGGCCAGGATGGAGCGCTGTCCTTCACAGCTTCGGTTATTATACTCACTTCTGAGACCAACCCTTCCATTTCACGAGATATTCCCAACGACCCTGCAAAAACAGACCCACAACAGAGTCAGGTTATCAAATGTCTACGTGTCGACACTGCAAACGCACATGTTTGCGTTAGAGACGCAGAGACACAGCCTGCGGGTGGAGGAAAAAAAAACAGCGAATACCCGTCTGATTCGCCGTTTAATGATGGACTCGGCTGCGAAGACGCTCTCACCGACAGCCGAGAGCTCCATGGTTCACCATGCACCTCGTTTATTTCTGTGTTTTTTATTATTTTTGGCTTCCCCTCGTCCTCTTCGGGTTGTTTAATTCCGCACATCCCATAATACGCAATCTGGGGAGGACGTCATCACGTCTTTTTCTGTTGCCAGGCGCCGCGGTCGGTAGGACGGATCGTGGCGGAGCGCATTGGCTCAGTTGTTGCTACGTGCTCCGGATTTCTGAGTGAAGGGGTGGAGTCTTGTGCTGTGGCTGCTGTACAGGAATGTCTGGCACAGTGGACTAAGCAAAGTCAGAGGGTCTCGGAGCGGGTCTACTGACCCCCCCAGAGGTCCATGAGGGGGTACAAAGAGCCCTCCCCTACACGGCGAGAAGAAAACGCTGAATTTCACTAGAATAAAAAAGAAACGCGAACAAAGATGGAAGACTAACTCCTTTATTTAATGAAAGATTGTATACTTAAAAAGCTCAAATAAAGGTGTAAAAAAATCCACAAAATATAAGTCTATAAAAAGCAGAAGCACGAACTACTCAGCGCTAAAATAACAGGTTAATAATTATTATGATAATAATGACATGCAGATGCAAATGTATTAAATGAAACCGTATCAAGCTTGTACTGAGTAACCCCGGGTTACTGTTTTAACTGATTTACAGATCTAAATAATTTTTTTAATGACCTGTTTATTATAAAAACATAATTTAATGTTAGATGTAAGCAGTGTCGTGTTCACACGCCGAGTCTCTAAAGAAGGTTGTTCCCACTTGTTCCCATTGCTCCGTCCTTGAAACACTTTCACTGTCTGTGTCCATAATTCAGCCAGCATGGCTCAGATTACAT